CCCTACCTACTATTCTTTACCCTCCTTCCCCTCTTCCCACCCAATTTCCTCTCTCCCCACTCCCCTTCCCGTCTTCCTATTCCCCTCTCCTCTCAACATTCCCTTTACCCTCTCCCCATCCTCACTTCCCCTCTTTCTCCCTTCTCCCTCTCTCCCTCTCTTTCTCTCTCGTCTTCTCCCTTGCCCTCCAGCCTGAACATTCCTGCTTCAGACTTCAGACGCTTGAATATTTGTGGTCCATCCCGGTGGAGGTTCTTCGGGGGAAAATACGGAAAATACAGCTTAAGAGGTTTAATTGAAAGAGGAAAAAAGAGGCGGGGTAGGAGTACGAAGAGAAAAGACTGAGAGAGAGAGAGAGAGAGAGAGAGAGAGAGAGAGATAGATAGAGAGAGAGAGATAGAATGATTGAATGAGAGAGAGAGAAAAGAAAGAGAAGAGAGAGAAAGAGGGGGGTGAGTAGGAATAAGAGAAAGGGGGAGATAGAAAACAGAGAGGAAAGGGAGAAAAACTGAAATTCAGATATGCTGCAATAATCACAGACAGACAGAGAGAGAGAGAGAGAGATAAACCAAACCAATATAGTGAGAAGATATGATGCTATGATACAATATTTAGAGCAAGGGATGGTAAAAAATGGCGTAATGAACAAAGAAGGATACAATCATAAATCCAAAGAAATGAACGAATGAACAAGGAAATATCGCTGAACCACTCAACAGACAGAATATATAAATACAAACAGATAGACAGAAAAAAATCTAGAATTCAGTAGCATTCATAAATGAATAAATGCATAAGATTTAAAAGAACATTAATATTCATAAATAAATGAATAGGTAAATAAATAAAACACATATCACTCACTGATTCATTGGTGAGATCGTGCACTGTGCAGTCCAGCTCCGCGGTCTGGCCGAGATACACTTCACAGCTGGTGTTCGAAGGGGCGAAGTGCGGCTCCGGAACGACCTCGTGGTGGTGGTGCGTGTGGTGGTCGTGGTCGTAGTGTGACTCGGAGACGCTAATGAACCGCTGGGTTTTGAGGGGAGACGACACAAGCCTCCCGAGGGCCTTCGGGGACGACCCATCTCCGAGGGCTTCTGCGGGTGAGGGACAAAAAAGGGAATTTGAGATCGATTTCATCCCGAGGCCGAGTAGGTTCGTTAAGAAATTATGATGGGTGGTAATAAATGTCAATGATATAGTTAGTCATAATAATACTATACTCGCCGAATAGAAAAAAAAAACAAAAAAAAAACTCGCAAAGTCATATTTTTCTATTGTTGTAGAAGAGATAGTGAAGAGATATTGAACCATAATTGAATATCAACTTACATTCAAGAACAATAATGACGACAACCACAATGACAATGATTATCTAAATCATAATTCCAATAATAATTATTATTTTATATTGGTACAACTACTACATTTATTATCTTCATAATGATAATAATAATAATAATGATAATAATAATAATGATAATTATGATAATAATAAAAATAATAGTAATAATAGTAATTAGAATAACGATAATAATGACAATACTAATAATGATAATAATAATGATAACAATAATAGTAATAATAACAATAATAATGATGATAATTAAGATAATAGCAACAATAATGATATTTATCTGAAAAAGAGAGTAATGGTAATAATGACAATACTAATAATGATAATAATAATGATAACAATGATATTAATAATAACAATAATAATGATGATAATGAAGATAATAGCAACAATGATGATAATAGTAATGATAATGATAATAATAATGATAAAAGTAATGATTAGAACAACATCAACAACAAAAATAACAATGGTGATAATAATAATAATGATAATAAAAATGACAATGATAATAATAATCATAATGTTCATAATAGTAATGACGATAATAATGATAATAATAACAATGATGATAATACTAATGAAATAGCAATAACAATAATAATGATAACAATAATAACAATACTACTACCACGGCTACTACTACTAACAACAATAATAATAATAATAATAATAATAATAGCAATGATAATGATAATAATAACAATAACAATGATAACAATAATGATAATAATCATAATAATAATAATTATTATTATTAATACTATTATTTGAATAGCAATGATAGTAATAACAACAATAAAAACAATAATAACTATACATCATCGCCACAAACATCATCATTACCATCACCATCTCTATAATTACAGAACCCCATAAAGCGCAGGGTCCGCCCGCCACCACCACCACCCACCACCACCACCGCCCACCACCACCACCGCCACCACCACCACCGCCCACCAGAACCGCCGCCCACCAGAACCCGCCGCCCGCGAGGAAGAGAAATCAACGCAAATAAATCTAAGAGCGGGAAACGGGCCTACTTCCTAATTAGGGAGACAGCGGCGAACACATTCTGTTTACCTGTCAGCGCGAGGAGGAGCGGCAGCCACCTGAACAATATTGATTCCGCTGTCATTC